ATATTTAAAAGGGGTAAAAAAATATTGGGGACTTTGCAAAACTAAGCAGTTCAAAGTATGGCTTGCTGGTCCCTCTCTCTCCTTTATTGGCAGGACTCTTATATTAGGACAGTTTCGATTTTATGAATTCTATGCCTGCTTGACTTAGTTTTAATGGAAGATGCCTATTAATTTTTTTTTCAATTGTGCTCTACAGTTTCTTGGCTAAGTAAAAAAGATTTCTTTAATTGGTTTCTTTTTGGTGGCTTTAATCACCCTCATGTCTTTCCTCATTTTATGAATTGATTTGATCATTGCCCCTTGCAGGCTAGAGCTGGTATTGATTATGAGTCCTCGTATGGGAAGGCACGTCCAAATGATACCATCCTGAAGCTTCAAAGAACACAGCCTTACTACAAGCGCAACAGAGCACACGTATGCAGTTTTTATGTTCGTGGTGAATGCACAAGAGGTGCTGAGTGCCCTTATAGGCATGAAATGCCTATAACTGGAGAGTTGTCACAGCAAAATATTAAAGATCGTTATTATGGGTAAGTGCAATGTTGATTACCTCTTCCTTTGATCTCTCACACCTATGCTTTTTATTTTTTTATTTTATTTTCTCCTCATTCCTTTTTGTTTTCTTAACATGATTTTTTAAGATTCTAAAATAATTGGATTATGCTTTGATGTGATTTGCAACAGCCATTAGATTCATTGCTGTTTTGGAAATTACGGCCATTGGATTTCAAGTGGCTATTAGATTTCATTTTTTGGTTTTAGACTTTTGAGTTTGGTTGTTAGTTGGTTGGCAACCACTTGGCTGTTGCCCAGACAATTCTTTATGGGAGCAGTTGTGCCAAGTGAAACCTGGTTATTTCGATGAACAGTCTTAGGTTCTGCTTGGTATTATAAAGGTTTTTCTAAGGAGTTCATTGATTTATAGTTTTATAAGAATGCCAGATGATTTAAAATCATAACTAAAAATGTCTCCACTCATGCTTTTTTGTTTTTTTCCTGCTTTATGCTATTTGTTGGATGAGCTGTGTGGTGTTCAGAGAGGATCTATTTTGGCTGACCCTTCATTGGAGTATCAGGGTGCTGCATTGTTTTATTTTTGTTTGGGCTTTGGATGTGATTTGTGGGTTGAAACTGGGAGATCTGACCATGTCATTTGGCCCAGCAGCATTCTTTCTCAGTTGCTGGAAACTGCTTATTTTGGTCAAATTTCCCATGTCCCCACTCCCTGCTTTGTATGTTGGAAGGATTGTATTGATGATTGGGTTATTGGTGGCCGAAGGTGGCTTGTTGATATTAATTTTCAGGTTGTTAGATGTACAGATCTGATTTGCAAGGACACCACTTTTTTTTATTGCCCTGTGGGTTCTTTTTGGGTGGAAGATAGATAGGATATATATGTCTATATGCTAACCTTCCTTATTGTGGTTGATGCTGCTGCAAGGTCTGTTTAGTGTTTCCTTGATGTGTGCATCCTGAGATTTTTGGGATTGTTTATTCGCAGTTCCTTGTGTAGTTTGAACTTTTGGGGTTTGTCTGAGGTCCTTTCCTAAGGGATCTTTTCCCTTGTCAGGCTGTATTTTTTCATTCTTTAATACAATTTCCAGTTACCCAACAAAAAAAAAAAAAGAGAACTAAAATTTCAAGAACTATAGTATGGACCTTGTCATTGATGCTAGTCTTTGCTTTATTTCAGGATTCGACATTAGTGAAACTGGTATTTGATTTTGGGGAAGAGTTTATCTTATATAACCAATTTGTTATAACACTTTGTGCCATTAACTCTTGTTTTGGTTTCCTATAAAGATAAATAAAAGCAAATATTGTCTTGTGCCTCACCTCACCTTGCCTTGACTTTTTGGGGTGCTGTAGTAGAGATGCAGGCCTAAGGTTCACAAGTTTACTGCAAAATCTCTATGAATCACTTGCATGCAAGAAAAAACACATACACATTCTCTTAGCAAACTTGCATGTGATGTTCAAGTTGTGGAACTAATGTCTTTTTGTCTTTTTTTTCTCTAATATGTATGCAGAGTGAACGACCCAGTTGCAATGAAGCTACTCAATAAGGCTGGTGAAATGCCTTCTCTGGAACCCCCTGAGGATGAAAGCATTAAAACCCTTTATGTGGGTGGAGTTGATGCAAGGGTCACTGAACAGGATCTAAGGGATAACTTTTATGCCCATGGTGAAATTGAATCCATAAAGATGCATCCACAAAAAGCATTTGCTTTTGTAACCTACACAACAAGAGAAGGTGCAGAGAAGGCTGCAGAAGAGCTGTCTAACAAACTAGTTATAAAGGGTCTGAGGCTGAAGCTGATGTGGGGTAAACCCCAAACACAAAGACCTGAATCAGAAGGTTCAGATGAAGCCAGGCAGCAGGCAGTTGCTCATAGCGGGATGTTGCCCCGTTCACTTATATCTCAGCAGCAAAATCAATATCAACAGCCTGGCACTCAAGACCAAGCTGCCCCAACGCCGTACTTCAATATTCCTCCTCCACCTCAGCAGGAAAGAGCCTATTATCCATCCATGGATCCTCAAAGAATGGGTGCAGTTGTTCCATCCGGGGAAGGTGAGAGCAAGTCTGGTCCAGAGAAGCAGCAACAAGGACAGCATTATAATTATCCACCCATGCCACCTCCTCATGGGCAATATCAGCAACATCTTTATCCTCCTTATGGATACATGCGTCCAGTGGCACCATATCAACATTACCCTCCACCATATCAGTCTTCAATGCCGCAGCCAAACGCGCCACCAATGACACAGCAGTTTCAGCATTCTGCTCCACCAAGGTCGGCTCCCCCAGTGTCTGCACCCCCACCATCAGGGTCTGTACCCTCGACATCAGCCCCTTCAGTGTCTGCTCCACCAGTTCCTGCACCACAAGGACCGTCTCAGTAGCGAAACTTACCCCACAATGGTGTTTGTAGCTCTATGTGTTGTAATTTCTGGTCAGTTGACTCAAAGTGGCCATTGTTTTGCTGTTAAATATTTTGTTGCTTCTACATGGGCATTTTACCAGAATGTAACCAGTGCCTGATGGATTTATTTCTTCAGTTTTGAGACTCATCAATGAACTTTTTGCAGGAAGTTATGCTTGACTGAGAACGATCCAGTAAATGATACTTAGGATCACTGGATCATTACTGACCAGAAGAACAATTATTTAAAATACATCTGATAGTGCAGGCATTCAATTCTTTTGTTTTACTAACATGCTGGCTGCTTTTAGTTTGATTGAAGCCTTGGAAAAATTCTTCATTCCTCTGGTCTCGGTTGGGTCCAGCATTCAAGTTTGTTTTTCTTGTTTCTTTTCTTAAAGATTGTCACAAGATGATATGTTCAAATCTTTCTAATCAATTCAAATTAAATATAAAAAAACAAACCAGAGGTCCATTTTTCAGAGAAATAATATTTACATTTACTCAGCGGGCAATTTTTTTTTTTTCACTTTTAAAATATAAGTATCCATTTAAATGATTTACGAATACAATAATGGTTTTCAAGTTAATGATTGAGGTGAGTTGAATTCAGACCTCTTAAACAGACTTGGAATCTTACTCGACCATACAGGGTGATTTATGTCTAGGCTGAACGACTTGCGTATACCCGAGGCTTGCCGTAACGATAAATTGGTATCTAAAAAGTTTGAAAACGTCAAATAGGCACTTTCCGTCATGTGTTGTTAGTGATTTCTGTTTGTTAATAGTGAAAATACTAAAATGCCTTTAAAAGTTTGATATTTTAGTTTTTTATAAATTTAAAAATTTCTAAAAAAACCTCCATAGGTTTGCTAACTTAACTAAACAACCCCATATATAAAAAGTTTGTTAAATGATAAAAACATCCCCACCACCTGCAGTGCCAGGTTCCGACCACCATCGTCGGAATCTGGCCGGGAAATTGCGTTACGACACAGACCCGTCGGATCTGTGTCGTAACGTGTCGATCTGGCCTTTTTCGACCAAATCCGCCACGGATCTGGCCGGAAAAGGCCAGATCTGGCCGTCGAGGCCACAGGAGTTTTGTGGCCTCGACGGCCAGATCTGGACTTTTCCGGCCAGATCGACGCGTTACGACATAGATCCGACGGGTATGTATCGTAACGCAATTTTCGGCCAGATTCCGACGGTGATGGCCGGAATTTGGCATTGCAGGTGGTGGGGGTATTTTTGTCATTTAACAAACTTTTATATATGGGGATATTTAGTTAAATTAGCAAACCTAGGGGTTTTTTTAGAAATTTTTAAATTTATAAAAAAACTAAAATATCAAACTTTCAAGGGCATTTTAGTCTTTTCACTATTAACAAATAGAAATTACTAACAGTACATGACGGAAGGTACCTGTTTGTCGTTTCTAAATCTTTTAGATACCACTTTGTCGTTACGACAAATCTTGGGTAGTCGTTTGGTCTTTATGTCTAGTATCAGTGTAAAATATGACTATTAATGAAATAATATATTTGCTATTTTTTTTTTTTAATTCTAAATATTATTTTCTTGATCCAACACAGCAAGCGGATTTTCATGGCCTCGATTGTATGGTTGACATTGTAGGTTAATTTATGTCCGTTAGATCCTCCATGCTCCCCTACGGAACCATTCACAGGAAGCCACGTTAAGAAATAAAGATCTCATCTTGCACTATTCAAAATTTGGCTTATCTCTTATTTTTTTCTTTTAGTTGACCCTTTTTTTAATCAGACTTTTGTAATTTGTAATTTATAATTTTTTTAATAACACAATTAAGTTATTTTTAAATATTTATTAAGATATATTATTAAAGTAGATTTTTTATTTTTTTAATTCTTATTAACAAATTTTATAATTCTTTAAATATTGTTTTACTGTTTTATTTTATTTAAATAATCTAAAAATGCAATATCAAAATTCTAGAAGCAGCAGATTATATATATCACGTGGCACGCTATCGTTGGACTACCCGCTTATACGGGCTCGAAAGGGTCTTCGAACCAGAATTAAATGTAGATTCACGTCCGGTGCTCTCGAAACTTCTTTAAAGTCAGATAAAGCGTCTCGCTGTTCATCTTCTTCTATGGTATCTTCGTGTGAGATCGAGAATTTACGGGCGATTTCTAACTTTACCGAATTTTCACGATACGTGCGTACAGAGAGGAGAGGAGAGGGAGACCCATTTTTTTTCGCTTGATATGGTAAGTTAACGACTTCTTTATAATAATTCAAAGAACTTGTTTCTTTCTCGGTCTTTGATGGTTGAATCTTGAATTTAATTTTGTAAAACCAGGCATTGTAGCTTGTCTTCAATATAGTTTTTGAATTTCGAAATTTGGTTGTGTTCGAAATTGTCTGAAGAAAGATGGTGGTGTTTCTAGATTTTTAGTTTTGACTAAATATTGTTAATTATATTTTGGACTGTTCTATGTTCTAGTCGTTTATTTTTCTCTATTTTTCAGCTGTTCGATTATTTATCAATATATATTTATTTTTTTAATTATTATCTTTCCGTTGCATGTGACCAATTGAATTATTTTAGTGTCTCCATTAACAGGAATTTTTTAAATTGGATAAGAATTATAATACATAAATTTCAACAACGTGTAATCAAGAAACCTGAAGAGAAAGTATAGAAGATTTGAGTATGAAATATGATACTACTGTAATAAGATGTATTATAAGTTTCTTTTTTGTGTAGTGGTTCTATCTTTGGATCTTTGGAAGTAAAGTTTTATCCTGAGAGAATATGAGAATTCATGAAAAAAAAAAAACATAATTAGAAAGAACTCTTCGAGAGAGATTTTAGCTTGCAAAATTTAAGGTATTGATATCAGAGGTGAGGAATAGAATTAATGTTCAATAAAACATGACCGGGTTCTTCTTTCGGGGAATATTTAAGCTGGCTGCTTCTGTTATGGATGAATTACGTTTGACTGTGAGTTATTTATTTCTACTTCGATGTTTTGCAGATGTCGTACTCTAGGAGGTCAAGGTATTCACGCTCTCCTTCTCCATACAGGAGAGAGAGCAGTTCGTATTCAAGGTCAAGGAGCCTATCACGTGATGTGGAAAATCCTGGTAATAACTTGTATGTAACAGGATTGTCACCACGGATCACTAAGAAAGAACTGGAAAAACATTTTGCAAGCGAGGGAAAGGTTTGGATTTTTGCAATTTTAACTATTTTGCATTGCTTGGAGGGAGCATTATTGTTTGTGCTTTCTGATTATATTAACGTTCAACTAATTTTGAATCATTGTTTTGTGCTATGTGGGTGTGCTTTTTCTGTGTTGGTTGATTTCGTTTTCAGGTGATTGATGTTCACCTTGTGGTTGATCCATGGACAAGAGAGTCTCGAGGATTTGGGTTTGTAACAATGGCTGCTGTTGAGGAGGCTAATCGGTGCATCAAGTACTTGGATCGATCTGTTCTGGAAGGTCGTGTCATTACAGTGGAGAAGGTAAAAGTTTTCTCATGAGGGCTTGTTATTGCTAATGGTTGATTCATATGGATTGTTGGATCATGCTCTCTTTGTATACAATTTTAGAATTGTGGATGGTTTGTTATTGGTTCTTCGAATTTGAAAAAAGTTTGCTTCTTTCCACTTGAAGTTTTTGTGGCAGCAGGTTAGCTGTGTGTGGCAGCTCTTCGCCAAACTCCAAAAGTCATACAACTAACAAACAAACAAATCAAACACATCAACAAGTATCAGACTGTTAGGGTTGTATGCCCTGCATTTCTCTCTTCTTTTAGCAATTGAATGTTGTGCTGCTTTTATTTTGTTATTGCCATGTTGTTTTAATTACCTATTTTACAGTTGATCTAGATTTGATATTTCATGTCTCTATCATATATGTACAAATTGATGGGAAAGAAAGATTTTACCTCACTGTATCATCTTTTATTTTTTTATTCTTAAGGGTTGTTTAGTAATCTGATGTTCTTATGCATCTCTTGCAGGCACGGAGGCGAAGAGGACGAACTCCTACTCCAGGAAGGTATTTGGGACTGAGAACCATACGTGGTAAGATCATTACCATGTTAAATAAGTTTTCTGTTCGTTTTTAGTTACCAATGGATGGTTGTATCTCTAATGATCTTTCGGCACTTTTGTTGGTACAGTTCGCCGTCGAACGCCTAGCTATTCTCCTTCTCGTCGATCTCCTAGCTACTCTCCTTACCGCAGGAGCCTTAGTCAGTCTCCTGAATATTCCTCGGAGAGAAGCAGGAGCAGATCTCATTCTCCGTATCCATACCGTAGTAGGCAGAGGTCTTATTCTCCTCGTTATAGTCGGCGGAGATCCTACTCACCTTATTATAGCCGGCGCAGATCCTACTCTCGCTCTCGTTCACCTTACAGTAGGTCACCGGATGATCGCTACTATAGAAGGCGTGACCGATCCTACTCTCCATATGACTCCAGGTACGATGATGGTTACTATAGAAGGCGAGATCGCTCCTACTCTCCATACGACTATAGGTACAAGGACCGTTACTATAGAAGGCGCGATCGCTCCTACTCCCCAATCGACCACAGGTATGAATCACTGGATAGAAGACATCGATATCGTTCATTTTCTCCTAGTCCTACACCACCTAGGAGGAGAAACTCTAGGAGAAGCTATTCACGTAGCATCTCTCCCAGGAAGAGGACTAGCTCAAGGCGAAGTTATTCACGCAGTCTCTCGCCTAGACAAAGGATCTCGAGAAGGAGCAACTCCAGGACCGTATCCCCAAAACCAAGGAAGAGCATTTCTCGTGCATCGAAGAGGGTAGACCCACGTGAAAGTTTCTCTCGGGGCTCTTCAATGAGTAGTCCTAGTGCCAGTGCAAGTTCGAGGTCCATTTCAAGATCTGTTAGCCCGTCACCGTAAAATCATTTTAAATGTTGGCGACTCTAGTTTCTTTAGGCATTCTCTACCTAGAGATGTTGATTATTATAGACCACTGTAGTGTATATTATGGAGTTTAATATCGTGCTGTAGTGACTCGGACTCCCTTTATGACTTATAAATAATGGGCTTCTTCAATGCTAGTTATGGAATGATTGTGGTGTTTGGATAAAATGCCTGTAAAACTGGGATCCTTTTGTGATTTCCGTTGCTAACTGTACAGTAGAATTCTGGAGACATTGGCATGGCAGTATGTATTTCCATGGTTCGAGGATGCTACCTTTGTATTAGGGAAAATTGAAACTAAATAATCTTCTTGAAATGATTCATTGAAATAATGATGCATATGAAGATACTATTTTAGGAGTGTTCATAACTGTTTTTTTATTAGTGAAAATTATTGAATCAAAAGGGAATCGGAAAAGATTGGTTTTGAATTGGTTTTCTTCTTTTTTATTAGATAAATTTGTTTTTAATTTTTTAATAAATTAAATTATTAATATAAATAATACATATCTAAATAAAAATTAAACATTAATACATATTAAAAATTATATATATATATATAGAGGTTTAAAAGATCGGTTTTTTGATTTTTTTGAACTGTAATCGAATTATTTTTTTCGGTTAATTGGTGTTTTTAGTTTGGTTCGATTTTTGCAAATTTTGTTAACGCCTATCGAGTCCTTTTCCTTCTGGGATGGCCAAATGTTTGGGAGTTTTTCTATTCACCCCTTTATTTCTTTTTCTTGTTGGTGGATATTTCTATACATTTTCTCTTTGTTTTCCGAGCCTCCAGTGAGTTACAGAAGGTTTCATCGACAGTTTGGTGTTGATTCCTCTTATTTAACCGAAAGTTAAGTAGCCGGCATGATTATTTGACCGTTTCTCGTTCAGTTAATACTCGGTTACCTCTTTCAAATCCGTCTAGCTTTTTAGTTGAGATCACACTCACAGTGTTCAAGAATGAACATAACTAATGACGGACTCGAAAACTATTTGCCTGCGGATGATAAAAGGTCTTAAACTCAATCTAATGAACAAAGATTTCCAATACACGAACAAGGGAGAAGATAAAGAAGCAGAATTTCTGCCTTCTACGTATGTTCCATAGTTACGAAGGTATGACTCTTGTTGTATGTCTTTGTAATTTAATGCGTTCGGACACATCTAGAACTAGGATTTTTATATCAAGGTGTGATTTTCCCTAGTTAGTAAATTCGCGTATTCATATAATTCGTGTATTATTTGCGAACTGTCATATTTTATTAGTCTAGTCGCATTATTCGTGAATTATTCCCATATTTTTTTCTGTATCCGAATTTTTGCCGAATTTTTACAAATATATTTTTCACTATTTGCCGTATCATACCCGTAAAATTATCATACCCTTTTTTTGCTATACCCGTATATTTGAAATGTTGTATAGATTTTAACCAAATGGCCTATGAAAATTGCTAAAACTAGGATTGATATTACCGTATTTTTCAAAATATATTATTGATAATATACCGTATTAAACCCGTACCATATTTTTTCTGTATTCGAATTTTATGACCAATTTTTACAAACGTATTTTTCACAATTTATCGCATCATATCTGTAAAATTCTCGTATCCGTATTTACTAACTAGGGATTTTCCTAGCTAACTTTACAGTTTTCCCAACTACGGAGGGTAAAATTCCAGTGATCTTTTTTGGATTCTATATAATATGCCAATCGAGATTTGTGCTGGCGTTCGAAGATGCTCTTCTTTGGACCAGGGATTGCACAATTGAAAATGGCAACCCATCAATTGAGGCTGTACGATGATGTAGTTGTGAAGTGTAAATTAAAGAAAGTAGTCGGTTTCATTAAACATTTCGATGTTCATTTTCTCTACTCGAATTTAATCCAACATTTCTGGAAGTTGAAGCTATTATATGCAGACAGCATCAACTCCGTATCTGACGTCAAAATCGTTTCCGAGCCAGCCACGAATTTCCCATTTTAACAAAGATTATACCTATGACCATGAACAGCTCTAAAACTATTAGATTAGTTTGTCGAAGTTAATATTACGAGGTTGATGCATACTAAATCCAGACATATGGTAGGCTCTGTTTTAAAAATCGGACCAGACCGGATCTACCGGTTCGATCGGGATCCGGCAGCTTCCAGGTCCGTTTCAGGGCTTAGGAAGTTTTTTGTAATATTTCAAAATTATAATGGTTAATTTGTTATTTTATAGGGGTGTTTTGGAGATATGTCAAAAGGTTAGGGATTAATTGGTAATTTTTAGGGGTATTTTTGAAATAAATAAAAATGTTAGGGACTACTTTGAACTTTTTAGGGGAATTTTTGTAATATATTAAAATTTGAGGGATTAATAGTAATTTTTAAAAAATAAAATTGTCACTGACGTCATCGGTCCAATCGGTTTACCCGTAACCCAGACAGCAAAACGGGTTGCCCTCTAGTCTGGGTTTTAAAACAATGAATTGGTAAGTAGGTTCCCAAAGATATTGTTCGTTCTATTTTGTCCTAAAAATGTGTCTCTAGATGGTGAGAATGTCTTTGTACTATATAAACAACCAAGACCCTCATCTCCTAACTAATGTGAAACTTTGACACCAACATAGCCCCAGGTGATGAGGGGCTTGGGAGTGGCCTAAGCTTTCCTCTAGAGTCAACTGTGGATAAGGGGCTTGGGAGTGGCCTAAGCTCTCCTCTAGAGTCAATTGTGTATGCCAAATCCAGATACATAGTAAGTGAGTTCCCGAAGGTATTATCCACTTTTGTCCTAAAAAAAACGCCTCTGAGTGGTGAAGGTCTCCTTGTGTTATATAAATGGTTTAGATGCTATATGCAAATCATACGTAGATTTCATTATGGATCCTATGTACCTCTGGTTGATGCAAATCGCTTATTAACAAAAGTTATAATACTTCTACGCTGGTTTCCAACAAAATGACTTCATAATACAAGAGATACATTATTTTCATTCATTCAATAATAAATAATTGTCTGACAGAACAAATATTTGTAGTAAACAAACAAGGAATGCGACAAAGAAGCAGAGGTACTGCCTTATTTATGCCTACTACAGAGGGATTTGTGTGGATCCCTTGTGTTGATAATACTTAAAATAAACAATTATACAAACAAATATTTAACTGTTGGGCTATCATCAAATTATGGTACCCGGCATTCCTCGATGTTCCAGATTTCCTTAGCATATTGACTGATTGTGCGATCGCTGGAGAACTTGCCGCTTCCGGCAGTGCTTAATATGGAACTCTTAAGCCACTTCTTCCTATCCCTGTAGGTGAGATTAGCATATCATATTTTAAAGGTTTAAGATCAATTGAATAGATATTATGAAGTTAAAAGTCTTACTTGTAAGCTTTGTCAACTCTTTCCTGAGCATCCATGTAGCTTGGGAAGTCGTAGCCGACCAGAAAATAATCGCCACGACCATAACCTGAGTTCCCTTCCAGGGAATCAAGGAGTGGGTTGTAGTCATAACTTCCGAATGCTCCACTTCTTATAAATTTCTTTGCCTCCTCAAATCGAGGATCTGGTTTGAACTGAGTGATCAGAAAACACCAAAGTCAGAAAAGGAAATGTGATTACTTCACTGCACTCAGGAAAAAATAAAAAAAAATAATTTCATACCAATCCGTCTTCTCTTTCCTTGCGCAGTCCGGGGACTTGATCAGCAGTGGCACCAAAGAGAAAGAAATTCTCATCTCCAATTTCCTCCCTGATTTCCACATTAGCCCCATCCAATGTTCCGATTATGAGGCAACCGTTGAGGGAAAATTTCATATTGCTTGTGCCACTGGCCTCCATACCAGCAGTGCTGATATGCTGTGATAACTCACTTCCTGGAATAAGCACCTCGGCCACAGATACATTGTAGTTTGGAACAAATACTACCTGAAATATTTTTCCAGTAAATGGTGAGGAAGGGAAGGAGAGACACAGAGAGAGATTCAACAGAATCAACATACTTCTTTTTAGTATCATTCACAACATACTGGAAAGAACTTTTATATTGTAGTTTAGGTTTCAACTTGCTAAATTTAATATAAAGATCCAATTCTCCAACAGAAAAGTTTTTTGCTATCAAATTGTGGAAATTCATATCTTCATTATAGAAGTATATATGTAAGATGCAGTTAGTTTCTAATTAATTACCTTCAAATAACTATTGACCTCAGGATCACTATTGACGACATCACCAACATCATTCACCAACTTCACTATTCTTTTAGCATTTGTATATGTTGCAAATGCTTTCCCTCCAATCATAATGGTGCGTGGAGTAGTATTCTTCCGCTCTTCAGGACTCATTTCCTGTCATAGTTCAGTTCCAAATAAGCTACTCAAGACTGTATGTCAATTACGCTACATCAGCTCAAGCAGTTTCACATTTAAAGTGAAACTACAGTATTATAGATGCATATTATGAAATAAACTGGTGTACGTGTACTGTGGATGATGGTGTGCATATCATAGATCAAGACTTATGCATTAAACTTATTGGTAATGTTAGAACATTTGAGTTCAAATCCTTAATACTTTAAATTGGCAAAGTAAAAACACATATTTTTAGAGTGAACAATCCATAAAGATGATGGGAACAGCACTTGGTTTCAGAATAATATAGTCGCAGCATACAGGATAGAACCAAACGAATTGTCATATGGACAGGTTGATTATGCAGATGCAGTATTAGGTAAATGATCCAACATAAATTGAGAACATAATTTAAGTGGTTTATGTGGAAGTATTTTCAATGAATATTTACCATTAAGAAAAGATAATTAAGTTCAAGTTGCAAGAACCAAAGGTACCTTTAACTTCTTGTATCTATAGATTGCACCCAAAATATTCAATAGCTGCCTCTTGTATTCATGGATGCGCTTGACTTGTATGTCAAATAAGCTATTTGGATCAATGCTCACACCTGTTACTCGCTGTATGTACTGTGCCAAACGCTTCTTATTAGCCATCTTAGCAGATGCCCATTCAGCTTGGAGGTCTGCATTGTCAGCAAACTATTGGAGAAAGTATCAGTCAAGTATACTACATTACTGCAGATTAAAG